GGTGGGGGGGGGGGGGGGGGATTCGGAATGTTGTACCTTTCTCATTGGTGTTTCCCTCCCTTTTACCACTACTACATGATGAGCCGCAAAAGTGAGCAAATGAGGGCGTATTAGTTACGAGTCTCCGCCCTCTTGTCTATCGCAGAGTGTGTCTTTAGGGAGTCTGCAGAATTTGCGCTAAGGAAAATTTCTGCAAAATACAGACGATGACGTGCCTCAGTACGAACTGTCTCAAGAAATTAGAAGTTATTCTATAGAGTCGAATTTGAGGGTCGAAATTATGTTTTTTTCCGAGTCCTTGAATTTAATAAAGAATACTTTTCAGTACACGGCGTGGCCTGACCATGGCGTCCCTGATCATCCGACTCCGTTCCTCATTTTCCTGAAACGAGTGAAAACTCTGAACCCGCCGGATGCTGGACCAATCATTTCCCATTGCAGGTAATTGCAGCAGTGCAATTCGAAGGCCTAGGAAACCGGTTAATGTGAGGATATTTCAGTGCTGGAATAGGCAGAACGGGAGCGTTTATTGTGGTGGATTGCATGCTTGAAAGGCTTCGTTACGAGAACACCGTCGACATTTTCGGTTGTGTGACGTCGCTGCGAAGTCAACGATCATACATGGTGCAGGTGCGTTGATAGCGTCATAATCCTCATTAGGGCGCATTTGAGTGCGATTGATAATTCAGACTGAAGATCAGTACGTCTTCATCCACGACGCCGTGCTTGACGCAGTGAACAGTGGCTCGACGGAAGTACCAGCTGTAAAACTGAGGCAACATGTGATGGCATTGCAACAAGTGGCTCCAATGGAAGGAGCAGCAGGGATGGAACTCGAGTTCAGGGTTGGTTCTTACACGGTACATTCCTTATCTTTAGGATATCTTGGTTGAATGGCTTAACTATCGGTTCTCGACCGCGCGAATCGTTCTAATGGAATGCGCTCAAATCCGGCGATGAGCCAGCACCCTGCCGACAATGAGGACCTCTGGAAGTGTGCATTAGTATCGCTGGCTTGTTAGAGACTGATGTTGCAATGACGTAAGAAAACGGCGTACGGGTGCCATACGTATCTGGTAAAGTACGTCGTACTCTAGGATCTCCAGCGAAGGGAGCCCTATCAGAAGGTCGTATTTCGGGCAAGTGGTGGAATTTCTGACAAAAAAAAAACTGCGAAGTTGAGGCATT